CCCCGCGCACGTGATTTCGCCGGACTCCCGCTCTTGCCTCCAGACCCGCCATTTTGGGTCCGGGTATTGCCGGGAGCCAGTGTAGCCGCTAGGGGTCAGTCTGCCCCAGCCAGGCTCCTAGGTAGGCGGCTACCTCCCCTGCTCCGCGTCTCTTTTGGATTGGAAAAGTCCTCACTATCCTTCCGAGGAGTAGCTGCCCCGCCCTGCTGTGCAGGCAGGCACATTCACGTCCTTTTCCTCTAGCTGAAAGACATTTAACTGCCTTGCGATCAAAGCCTTGATCTGTGGGGGAGCCGTAACACATCGCGTGGACTCGGAGTGGGCGATCCTAAAGGCATCACTGGTGCAGGTGACTCGGAGTCCTGCCCCACCCAGGTTGGGTCAGGGGACACGGGTGTGGACCCGAGTCAAGGTCAGGAAGGGTCGCCAGCACTTGCCAGCATGGATCAGTCCCACTCGGAGCTGCCCTGCGCCTTCTCCGTGTAGTTCGTGGAAGCTCCTGCCTCCCTCGGCCCACCAGGGGGCGTACAGAGCGCGGCCCGCTGGCCAGAGGGCGGCTCTCCCGAAGACCCAGAGGTGGCGATGGAGGGGACTCAAAGGAAAGACGTAGCGATCGAGGTTAACATTAACATCGCGTCAGGGGAGGTGGCACACGCCCGTAATCCCACTCTCGGGAGGCTGAGGCAGTACGGTCCCCGAGGGTTCGAGGTCAGCCTGGGCTAAATAATCCAAGGCCACCTTAACGTACACAGCGAGACCCTGTCTCAAAACAAACCAACAGCGCTGGGGATTTAGCTCAGTGGTTCCGTAGCCTGCCTCCCTAAACATAAGGTCCGGAGTTCGATTCCCGATACCAGGAAAAAAAACAAACAATAACAATTGCCAAGTCACATCTGCGGTGCCTACTATATACACTCCCTTCGCTAAGGGGTTTAAATATATACACATATGAATGCCCCGGACGACCATAGTAGCAAGTCCTATTTTAATTATCAGTTTTACCGAGGAAGAAACCAGAGTCTCCAGGTAGACCTCCGCTCTGAGGGGGAGAGGTAAGGCCCTAGCCCCTGCCCTTTGACCCCAAGGTCTCTTCCCTAGTGGCCCCGCCCCCGCAGGCGGGCGGGGTACTGTACTGTAATTGGAGGTTATTAGCTGTACCCGAGGCAGGGAAGGGCTCTACATTGGGGGTGAGTGCAGGTCGGAGAGGAGGGGAGCTGAATCTGAGCAACCCTACTCCAGAGCCGGGGTGGGCAAGGTGACAGCAACTGAGCATAGATGTGGTCCCTTCACCCAGCCAACCGGTGCAGCCCATTCAGACAAGCTGCCCAGCACACCCAGAGCCTGGGGGCGGGGCCACACGCCCACCACCCCTCCCACCCCAGTTCCAGCTCCATCCCTAGGATGGGGAGAGGGAGCAGAGGGGACGGGATCGGGATTGGGACTGGTGCTGGCGGGCTGGACTGCCTTCTGCGGGGAGTGGAAACAACTAATCCCCTGTTCCCCATCCTCCACTCCTGCCTAAAGGGGAAACAAAGCCACCCCACGCCGAAGTAGCAGCGGGAGGAATCCGAAGAATGGGAGGCAGGACATCCTGAGACCCCGGGTATTTGGGATGGGGGGGGTCACAGGAATTTTGATGTTTAGGGAGAAAAATCTGGGAATCCAAGTATTTCAGGAAATTTACTTAAATTGCTCTAATATTGGTTGGTGTGATGTTATGGGCATTCCAGAAGTTTAGGGAGCCAAGATTTAAGTAGAGATCCTGAGATGCCACAAGCTTCTATCTGAGTCAGGGGAGAATCCCACATTTGAGGGGAATAGGGGAGCTCCTGTGTTGGTGGGGAAGACCAGCAGCCCCTATTTCACAACACAGGGAGCAGGGAGCTGTGATGTGGAGACAGGAAGGATACAAACCTGTTTTAGGTGCAAGGAGCACCAAAATTTGGGGAAGGTGATCTGGAAGGCTTCATTTGTAGGGACCCAAAGCCTCCAAAGTGCAGGTCTGGACCAGAACCCCCAGCTGGTTTGGGGACCCCACCCCCTCCTGTTTCCAGGAACAGCTGGGCCTGGGTTGGGTTGTACTGCTGGGAAGCCTGTGACTCAACCCCTCCCTGTGGCCACTGCTGGACCGTGGCCGGCCCTCTCTAGCCTGCACATCTGGGAAGCGACCCATTCATGAAGAATGGGATGGGAACCCAGGGTCCCACAACCGGAGCACAGCATTCTACCACCTTTTTCCGGGCTGACCCAAACTCCTGAGTGGACCCCATGCACAGCTGTCATGGGGAACCGTGGCATGGCCCCTACTCCCCAGATCCTGACATCCTGCCAGGCCCTCCTATCCAGCCCCTTCTCCTGTGTCCAATTGAAGTGTGCTAGCATTTGTGTAGGTTGTGAAGCCATGGGTCTGTGACTGTGTGTGCATGGGCCTGTGTGTCTACATCCACCCGTTTTAGGTCCCTGGAGATTTTGTGACTGGGTGTCTGTGATTTGGTTATTGGTTTGTTGTTTTACAATAATGAGGTACTTTCCCATCCTTTTTTGGTTGTTAAATATTTTATTTTATCCCATCCCCCCTCCTTAAGCCCCCTCACTCCCTATGTATGAAGGCTTTGTTTCCACTCATCCCTTTTATTTATTTTATTTGGTACTGGGGATTGAACTCAGGACCTTGTGCTTGCAAGGCAAGTGCGACACCACTGAGCTAAATCCCCGGCCATCCTTTTCTATTTGTAGAAAGGATCTTACTAAGTTGCCTAGGTGGGACTGGAATGTTCCATCTTCCTACCTCGTCTCCCTCAGGGCTGCAACTGCAGCTCTGTGCCACTGCACCCAGCTTGTCTGTGTGATTTGATGGTGCAGGCACAGTCGGGATGGGGGGGGTGACTGTAACACATCCTTGTTTGTGTTTAACATCCAGGTTTCAGTGACAGGAAGTCTCTATGCAGAGTCTGGATGGCCATCTCTGGTCTCTGATTGTTTTGGTGTTATGTCTGTCCCTACTATTGTTTCTGTGTACGTCTTTGTTTTGGGAATCAGTCTCCATTATTTTTTTGTTTTTTGCTTTTATTGTTCTTTTGTTGAGACAGGGTCTCACCATGTAGCCCACGTTGGCCTTAAATTAACTATGTAGTCCAGGCTGGCAGAGAACTCAAGATGATCCTCCTGCCTCAGCCTCCCGAGAGCTGAGATTACAGATGTGTGCCACCACAACTACTTTCCATGTCTTCTTTGTGTGGTGTGACAATCAGTGCCTGAACATGGCCTCAGGTTGTGCGTCTGTGACTGTGTCCTACTTTGTCTTCATCGTGTGTCTCCTATGACACTGTGACCTGGTCATGTGTCCTGGTTTGTCCACACTCCTTTGGACAATGAGTATTTCTATGTGTGACCTTGTCTCTGCCTGTGCCCTACTTTGAGTGCCCTGTGGTAACAGTGTGGTGGCCGGACAGTTGTGTCTGTCTCTACCTTGCGTCTCTGCTGATACAGTCGCCACAGGAGCGGGTGTGTGCCAATCCAAGTGCCAGTGTTCAAGGTTCTATGATAGGTTTGTTCTCCACTTCGCCTGGATGGGACGTTATCAGTGTCCATAAATGCAATTGCTGTGCGCCGATCACAAACTCAGGTGACTGAGGTGCTGCACCACTTTGCTTCAATGTGGTGCATATCCATTCCTGTCCGTGTTCACTGCTGGCTGGCTGGACAGCGGGGGTTTTGCTGGTCTGTGGCAGGTGTATCCTGAGTCCATGTGACACTGTGGGTCAACATCTGCGATCTCTGTGTGTGCGGAGGAAGGCGGTGTCACAGCCACCCTAGCCAGCGATTACCATGGGAGGGGCGACATGCAGAGGATCGCGCCCCCCCTCAGTTCCTCCTTGCCCTGCGGGGGTGCGTGCGTCGTGCGTGACGTGAAACAACGGAGGCCGCTACGTGCGTGGAGCCGACGCGGTCGTGCGTGCAAGCGCGGGGTGGGAGGAGGGGCCGCTGCTGCGTGCGTGCGTGCGTGC